GTAGCTTATATGTAAATCCTGCACTGTGTGCCACCCATAACATCAGGCTCGATTCTCTACGTCTTTGTATTACCACTGAAGGTAGTCGGTTATTTTATCAATAAGAAGTTCTCTAACAAAATAAAACTTATTTTTTTGTATTAATTTCTCTATGTTGTCTTATCCTTTGTACTGTAATTGGAGTTTATGTATGTTAGGTTAAAACATCTTAAATTGATTCCCTTTGGTTATTTTAACGCTGAAACAAGCATGTATTATATGCATATAATCGTGTAATGTTGAAAATATCATTTTTGTTCCTGGATATATGTGAAGATCTTGTATACAGTAAATTTACAAACCTTAATTACAGCGAGACCTTATCATAGCTAACAGAACATCCCGTCCGGTTATGTCGGGCCCCGTCCCTCGCTACCCGGTCGCCCCATTGTGGGCCTGAACGTACCCATAATGGGCTTGCAAAAAAGAGGCCCTCTTAGTGCCACAGGACGAAAGAGTTAAAATTTAAAAAAAAAAAAAAAAAGCAAACCGAACATTTGCTCAAAGCTTCACAATGATTAGGCCTCAAAAACATATCGTTACAAATTATTCATTCTATCATATTGTATTTTTTGTATTAAGAAAAGAGAAGTTATGACAATATTCTTTATAAAGTATAATGCAATTTTCAAAACTGTTTTGTATTTTTAAAAGGACTAAAGTTTTGAACGTTTCCGCTCTGTGAGCACTAAAAAAATACTTTTTTCAGGACCATCGTGGGTTCGGCTAAGCCCTCAGTGGGGGCATCATGGTGGAGAGAGACAGGACTTTATACCCAGGACAGATAATCGTCAAAAAAAAATCCAGTTGTCTGTCCTTATTCGATTCCGACTCGGCCATCAAGTCAAGAGACCACAATCCTTGCGGAACCGAAATAGTGACATTACAGGAAAATGCCCAGTATGTGCTATGGTTGTCGACGAAATTAGTAGGCAATCAGTAGTAGTGTTACTGTTCAGAGACAATACATGAGTGAATAGGGAAACGATCATCAACACATTAACTCCAATAGGATTGGTTGTTGACCGGTCTCGCAGTGACTAACCACTGTGGAATCCCTGTTCTATAGTCTCAGATAACGATCTAAGATTGTAGAGAAGGGGTCCCCATAGTGGTCGACATCGATCTGCAGGGATTAATAAAACATTTTCAGAATCGAATGGAGGTCGATTAAAAATGGTTCATAAAAATTATTAGTTTTAATAGGTTTGACTAATAAAAATTATTAGTTTAATATATTTGACAGTTCAGAACATTGTAAATTTTCACACTGTAAATAGATATGTGGAAATGGTGTATGAATTAATATTGGCTCACCAGATTTATTTGTTTATTTACTATTACTAACTGTATTAGCACAAAAAAGAAGAAGAAGAGGGAATCGCTAAAAAGTCTAGAAATCCTTGAAGAGGTCAACAGCCAAATTTTGGCATTCCTGCTGTAGAACAAGTTATGAAGCCTACCAGCTCAGCCCTGGAAAATCAAGTAGAGATGCATCATTGGAATTGAATATTCTAAAGACAACTGTACTGAAAATTCTACATAAATGACTGAAGATGCATGCGTGTATAAAACACAAGTTTTAGCCAAATGATAAACCACGATAAAGTGTTTACATAGTTCTTGCTTTCACGTATTGATGAGGAGAATGAATAGCTAACTAACGTCTGTTTTTCTGATGAAACAGCCGTTCATCTAAGCGACAAAGCAACGGACACAATATTGGAATATGGAGATCTGAAAATCCTCACGTGGTACATGAACACGTCCATGCGTGGTATGGATTGCCTTGCAATATCATTAGTCCCTTCTTTTTCTCAGAAAATAATCAGTGAAAATGTTTATTAGGGTTTGTTAGACTTGTTTACTCTTCCTCAACATCAGGAATTGCAACCTCATTTAATCCTCCTCATTGGGGTTTCGTGCCAAGTTGAATGAAGCTTTCTCTAACCTTAATAGGCAGCGAAGCTTCATTCAGCTTCATGTGCTTATCGCGTGGCTTCCCCAATCACCAAACATTATGCTTCTGAGTTTTACTTCTTTTGGGGTTAGTTAAAAATTGCGTCTACATTACACCAATCACCAACGAGTTAGAATATACTACATAGAGTTGCTGTATCCACGCCATGTTGAAAGAAAATTGAATACACGTCCGCCATTTTACTTTTAGTCAAGGGGGCGTGCCATTTGTGTTATGCTAAGGAAACGAGCTAGAATATTCTAACTCCTTGTGTAAAAGCGTGTAAAGGAAAGGAAGAATTTTAACCCCTAACTGAGACGGTGCGAGTCAAAATGACCCTACTAGGTATTTTTAAGTTTGAAAGTAAATAACAAGACATTTTTCTTCTTTAACCTCCCGCCCTTTTAAACGTTTCTAAACGAGAAAATATTCTGTAACAATAAGCAATGCATTTCTAAACATTCTTGATTTTATTTTCCCGACTGTTATATATACATAACAAGGGAAAACATTGGAATCTTGTCAAATTTGACCCTCAGAATTTTTTGCAAATCTCTACGTTTTGAGACCTCCTGAACAAAAAAAGAAAAGAAAAAGAAAAACATTCTGTGCATGTGTGTCCTATAAGAAGAGAAATTTGGCATGATAGCTTGTGTATAAGAAGAATTGATGCTATTAAATGTTGGTAGTTAAAAGTTAAAGGTGTGGAAGATAGAGGGGTGTCAGTTATATTTCGAGCGAGGACGGACTTAATGAAGATGTTGTTCGTTATTAACATTTACAGTTTTTTTAAATAAAACTCGTCTTTTTTTATAAATCTCATAATTTAGCTTTTTGCCATTCGATAATAATTAAAAATGTAAAAAGTTATAAGTAAAGGTTTCTTCTTCCAATAGTGAGACCTCCACTATTGTGATATTTACCACGTCTTTCTTAATTATTTGCAATTAACAGAAACCAAAATTAAAATAATTCACTTTATTTCGTCTATTAACAATGCATTTCATATTGGGAATTTTTCAATCCCTCTTCAGGCTGATACATATAGTGAACAATTTGTGCACATCCTAATGATGCAGTTTCTACATATCAGTCTCACTTACTGGCAAATCTTCTTTGTCTATTTTTGATAGGCAAATGCAACACTTCTTTTATTTCCCACAATTTTCAGCTCCTTATTACCTCTTAGAAGAATTTTAACTTGAACAATGTGGTTCACAATATGACAAAGATCAAAATGTACTTTTTCGTTGTAAATATTTTCACCAGTTGAAAGAGAAATTTTCACAAACTATAACTATAATAAAAACACAAAAACACTACTTATATTCTGCAAAAGAGAAAAACACTGTCCGAAAAAACCAACAATGCACTGAATATGGTACGGATCGAACTGACCTGAGTACACTATAAATAGACAATCATATGTACTGTACGAGCCCTTCAAGACCGGGCTCGTAGTTAGATTATAAAAAATATTGTTAAGTACTTTACTTACCACTTTAAACTCTGATCTTATCTTGTTTATAATAATTAATTAAAATCTAGAAAATAGCTAAATTTGAGATAAAACAATCTAGATTTATATCATTTATCTACTTGCCTAAATCTCAAATCTAGGGGCAAGCAAAACCATCTAGATTTAGATCTATTTTTGTCATCTAGACAAAAATAAAATTTTAAATGACAAACCTGCCCAACACGTGATATAGACTTCAATATTTTGACTTAAAGCAAAATGGTGGTCGATAGTACCCTCCGTTGCTACCAATAGCGTAGTATCTAAGGTCACAGCCACTCTATGTTGTATATTCTAGCTTGTTGCCAACCGCCAATTCAGTATTTTTGAAGGGAAAAAAATACTGCTGTTATCCAAATTGTCACTACGGACATAATAATGCACAACGTGAGATTGAATATCAACTGGCACTTTTTTAACAATCATATCTTGGGTTAGGGCAGGGGCGCCGCTAGCTGTTTGAACGCCCGTGTGCAATACCGATTATGCTGCCCCCTGTTTAACTACGATTACCTATGCTGAGCTTGCCAGAAAGGCTCTTTGCCGCCCCCTGGACGTGCTGCCCGCGTGCGGTGCACGCCTTGCACGCCGGCTTACGGCGGCCCTGGGTTAGGGCAAGCCCACAATGAGGCAGCACAGCAGTGAGGGATGGTCCCAGACATATCCGGACGGACCACATCCAAAAATTCCGATAGTTTTTCTACTCGTCTGGATTCATTCTTGAGTCCGCTAGAGCGTTAAGCTGGCATTTTAAACCTCTAGGCTAGGGATGGGCAACCTGCGGCCCGCATTAACAGTTTTGCGGCCCTCGTCGCATAAAATATGAATAAATATAACAATTTCCGAGCTTAAGGAAGTATGCAGCAAAAATTCAAACGTTATTTTTTACAACTTATGTATGTGAATAGTTTTTCCCGAAATGAATTTAGTAAAATTAAAACAAGAAACCAGCTAACAGACACATCGAAATTAATTTAAAGCTAGTGGTGACTAATATTTAACCAAATAATTTCCGATATATTACGTTTACATCAGTTCCAGAAGCTAAACTAAGTATACCTATGCTAATTTATAATTATATATGAATAAATAATTGTGATTTACCGGCATTTTCTTCTCTTTTCTCTGTTATACTGCTCGCGTCATTTCAAAAGTTTCAAAATGCAACCCTTACATAGAAAAAGATTGCCCATTCCTGCTCTAGGCAATCTGGCTACAGAGTGTTTAAAATTATTGTTTCATTAAAAAAATTACAGATAATTAAAGTAACCTTTCGCTTATGATCATACTAATTTATGTCGGAATTTCTGCCGCGTGCGTAATACAGGATGTAATTAAACTCTGAAATCATAGCTTCATAGCATGTTAATTTAACAGAGGTCTTATAGCTCTTCGGTAGTCGCATAAATAATAGTTATATCAGACGATACAGCCCGAATCTTATCGGGCTATAATATATCACGATAAGAATTAAGTTGTATCGTTTGATCGTTAAAGGGCGTATCAAATGTTTGATTGCAAACCATTTGTATAGGTAGCAATTTCAACACATTTGTCGAAAGTGTGTAATCCTAGAATTTTTTATTGTATTGCAAGAATTTTCTGTACTATGTATGAGCAAAGGGATAATATGAATTTGCAGCTTCGGAAACCAACATACACAGGTGATTCGCTTTTTTACTTTTAATTTTTTTTTTTTTTTTTTTTTTTTTTTTTTGGTTACGGTACGGGCAATCTGCCGAAGGGAATGCCTTCCGGGAGGTCTTTTATGGGAAACTTATGGGAAAGTGGTCTCTTTAGTGTTACCAACGTGAAAAGAAGACGCAGAAACTCCACGTGGGACCAGTCCATTGGCGAGGTACAAATCCGCGACCAAGTACCAGTGTCTAGTGGGTTTTATCCACTCGGCCACTGTGTAGGGTGATTCACTGGTGATATTCAATAGATTTTTTCTCGGAAACTGTTAGAGAGAGAAAGATGGGACTAACAACCAAATTTATAAAGCAGACAGGAGGACAAATTTTGATGACCTTGGATGACGTTGACAATCTGAGATTTTTCACATACGGAACGAAACAGGCTTTTAAGGATCATTATAAGGAGCGATTTTCAGCCATTGCATTATAAGGAGCGATTTTCAGCCATTGTGTGGATAACTTAGTACGCAACAAAGTAAACACCTTTCGCAATAGGTAACATTTTCTAAAACTTAACGGTTTTCAAGATCAGTTTCTTCTAAAAATTTGATTTCTCTTTTTCTCAAAAGTTTCTATGTTGGGAATTGAGTTTATTAGTTTTCATTCTTTGTCTTATCTTATCAGATATTGAACAAGTAGGCGTTGAATAAATTGGATTGTTACTTTTTCAAAGGCATAAAGGAGTGAGGGGTTTTATTGATCCTTTTCATTTTTCTGTATTTGTTTGTTTCCTTCGTTTTCATGAAAATGGGTTATTCAAATGAAGAAGTATTTGATACGCTAATGGCTTTAGGTTCATGCCACCAAAATTAGTCACAGGTTACAAATCTTTAAGTCAGTCTTCATGGACACGAATTAAAGAAATGGCTTACTTCCGGTGTCCTTCTATAAAACACATGAAAATCAAAATTCATGAAAGTTTTCTTGAGATTAGTAAAAGAAAATTGCGAAATGTATTAAGTGTATTAAATGCCTTTTCTATAAGAGTAAATCCCTGTATACGCCAAGAAGGTTAACATTTTCAGCACCTAATTTAAGTAAATTTTGAATTTATACTTTTATTACTATCATGCATCTGTCATCTAAAGCCTAATTTGGTCTGTACCTCAAAAACCGCTGATTTTCAAGATCATCCAAGGTCACCAAAAATTTCCTGTCTGCTCTATAAACATGGTTATTAGTCCTATCTTCCTATCTCTAACAGTTTCCTAGGAAAAAAAAAACTACTGAACGCCATCAATGAATCACCCTGTATATATAGTCAAACCTCTAAAAACAATGACCACTGGAAGGAATATAAAAATGGTCGTTGTTTGGCGATTATTTTGTACGTATATAAAAGAGAAACGTTCCTGAAAAAAATGGGCGCCGTTTAGTGGTGATCGTTAGTGTAAGTTCGATTGCATTTAAATATTTGATCATGTTTTTACGGCATATACTGATGGTCAATAAAATGATTGTTAGAT